CATCGAAAACAAAATGCGGCCTTACAAGATTTTTTTGAAGAAACAGAAAGTTTACTTTATGGATCTGACATAGCAGATTAGCTGTAAGTACCCGAAAATTGTTGTTTATCTATACCTAAAGCTTCAAACGCGTTTTTCTCGAAACTACTTTTTTTAAAACTGGCGTGCAGGATTACTCCAAAACTAATACGAACTAGAAATTAAATGCCTATACCGGTCGAAGCTGGATCTTTAATGCTTAAATAATTCAATGTGAATATATATACTATATATGTATATACATATATACCATATTTGTAGTCATTTGAACTGCGCGCCGAATTGGTTTTCCTGACTTATAAACGCAATTGATCGAAAACTGTTCATCCATTTGAGCCCTCCCTTTGCACACATATAGATAAATACATTCCTCTTGAATTGAATCTTTATTTATAATTGTATTTGTTTATATAAATTACTTTTATTTTTTACATAATGAATACGAAAATTTTTCATAAAAATCGATATTTTTTCTTTTATATGTCGCCATTTTTACAATTTCACATTATTCTCTCAATAGGTTCAATTAATAATCCAGACAGCACATTGAGACATAACACGTCTTTAAAATGTCTTTTAAAGACGTCTTATGTATGTCTCTTTTGGATACTTTGTGTTGTTTGAGAACGTAAACCCTACAAAAAAAAAAGAAATCGTTTTGATTTTTTTTATTTCAGATGAATACAAGCAGCGATACATTGCACGCGGACAAACGACTTCAACGCCGACGTATCGGAATAACGTTATTATTATATCTTAAATACACATTGTTCTTCAGTAAAAAAAATTTTTTAGTAGTTCAATATTACAATCACATATCCTGAAAATTTTAAAAGAATTGGTCATATAGTTCCCTAAAAAGAAATTTCGGAACACCTTGTTTTCACCGCGTTACATAAAGTGCCTCCCTTAAAAGTAATATTTTTAGTGAATATAGATTTTTGTACTAATTATAGCTGTCTATGAAAAATCTGTATTCATATGCATATTAAGATTTGATGTGTATAGGTAAATAGGTATTAAGATATGTATATTAAGATATTTATTTGTTATGTATAGAACAGAGAAAGCAAAAACTCTCCTACCAAAGTTGCGATGGGCGACACTAGGATATCATCACAATTGGGATACGAAATTATACTCTGAAAACTCGAGAAGCAACATGCCGACAGAATTATCTGGCCTAACATCCGTTTTGGCAAAAGCATTAGGTTTCTCAGATTTCAAAGCAGAAGCTGCGATTGTAAATTATTATCGAATGAACTCGACTTTAGCAGGGCATACAGATCATTCAGAGATGAATATTACTGCGCCGCTTTTTTCTATAAGTTTCGGGCAGACGGCAATCTTTCTGATTGGTGGTCTTAAACAGGAAGATCCGGCTAACGCTATTTTTTTGCGGAGTGGAGATGTAGTTGTAATGTCGGAAAGCTCCCGTCTAAGGTATCACGGGGTGCCGCGGATTTTAGAAGCGTCGAAAGCATCTTGGGACGATAATTACGAAGACAATTGCGAAAGCCTCGCGTACAATCTGGATGATTGGCACAAAGCACGGACTTACATTGCCGAAGCCAGAATTAATATGAATGTAAGACAGGTTTTGAAACCTGGGCAGATTGTATTATACTAAACTACATTGTAATTTTTTGTACATAAGTATTAAAGATATTTATTTTGACAAAAATACAAGATTTATGTCCCATATTTGAATATCGCCTTATATATTTAATTACTTTTAGTTCCAATTACATTTATGATTTTATGTCAAGATGAATATTAGATTAAAATGTATATATATATTAATATATAACAATAATTATATGCATAATTTGTATATATATAAATTAAACAAAATTATGTAAGAAAACATAAGTTATAAATTATACACATTAAATTAACTATAAATAAATAGATTAAGTAAATAATATATTTTTAAAGTTTATATTTCGCATTATTTGTTACGTTACTTAATTTTTATTTGTTTTTAACTGCTTTGATTTTTAATCATGCACATATGTGTACCATGCATTTTTTAAATCACGCGCCATTGGAAACGTAATCACTAGATTTCCGGTCTCTCATGTCAGCTGATCAATCCCGTTCCTGTCTGCTGATGCACAGTGGTCGACAATGTCGGGCAAAGACAAACTACCAATTTTCCCCTCTCGGGGGTAAGTTTCTTACTTTAACAAACTAATAATTGCAAAATCTCGATGATTTCACTTATATATTATATATCATTATTTATCCTTGAATAGAATTCCGTCTTAATTAAAACATATCTCAGCACTGGGTGTAACTCCAGCATTCAACTGTTAAAAGAATGTGAATTTGTACTTAAATATTCTAATTCTCTTTTATTTTGCTAGAATGTGTTTTATATGGAAAGAATGTTAATTTCCAAATGTTTATTGCACAGTTTGTTATCTTTTTAAGAGACATTCGTCAAAATTATTAATTTAAGGATGAGATTGAATATTTTCTATATTTTCCTATTTTGCAAAAATATCTTTTGTGATAAATATACGTAATGTACGAATTTGTATATTTAATGACATAATCCAAAATTTATAAATAGTAATAGTCATATATTTTAAGTACAAAAGACTAGTATATTTTAACGATTAAAAACTGAAGATACTAGTATGTTTTAGGAATTTATAGTGTTTTATTAATATTAAGTATTTATTTATTGTAAACTGTACACATTATTAAATCTGTATATATATTTAGGGCCCAAATGTTAATGAAGTCTCGCTTACAAGGAGCACAAAAGGGACATGGATTGCTGAAGAAGAAGGCAGATGCACTGCAAATGCGTTTCAGATTGATACTGGGAAAAATCATAGAAGTATGATTAATTTTTTATTGTTAATTTTATATCTTTATTGTACACTATTATACACTATCATATTCTGTTATTTAGTTTTTTTTAGTTGGACTATATCTAACTTTATACATATTATTTATTTATGTATGTACGTATATCATGCATATTTAAATCATGTATCATTCTTTTCTTACTTTTAGACCAAAACTTTGATGGGTGAAGTGATGAAGGAGGCGGCCTTTTCATTGGCCGAAGCAAAATTTGCTACAGGAGACTTCAATCAGGTGGTATTGCAAAACGTGACGAAAGCACAGATCAAGATCCGTTCTAAGAAAGACAATGTCGCCGGTGTAAATCTACCTATATTTGAATCATATCAAGATGGGACAGATACTTACGAATTAGCAGGTCTGGCTAGAGGCGGTCAGCAATTGGCTAAACTGAAGAAAAACTATCAGCGAGCAGTGAAATTGCTCGTAGAGTTGGCGTCGCTACAAACAAGTTTTGTCACTCTGGATGAAGTTATTAAGATCACGAATCGACGTGTCAATGCAATCGAGCACGTTATTATCCCACGAATTGAGAGAACGTTAGCTTATATTATTTCAGAGCTTGACGAGCTTGAAAGAGAAGAATTCTATCGGTTGAAGAAGATTCAGGACAAGAAGAAGATTGCCAAAGCAAGGGTACGATTAGATCTTATTCTACTAATATTTTATTCTATTATATTTATAATTATATTTATTATATTTATAGTAATATTTAATTTTACTAATATTTTTGTTTTTATTGATTAACAAAATTTCTAAGAAGATTATTCATATCTTACTAATTAATAATTTGTATATTATCTAAATTTTCTTCTGCTTAGGCTGAAGCGGAAAGAGCAGTATTAATTGCAGCCGGGCACAATTTGGATGCTACAAATTTGCTCGACGAAAGCGACGATGATGTGCTGTTTTAAATACTGTAAATAATATTATTATAAATATTAAGGTGTTAATATATCTAATAGAAAGAACATAAATTTATGTCGGCGTTACGACAGTCTCGTTTGTACATTTTAGAGAATGTCGTTGGAAATCCCTTTTCTGCTTAAAAAAATCATTGTTACTATTTTTGTGTATCTCTTGAAAAATACATTTTACAGTATTTGTTGGGCAACAATTTGTATAAATGAATAATTATATGTCATGTAGATCATGTAGTATGCAACAGTACCACTTATGAGGTCTGTTTTTTATTGCTGCACTCTGAACCAGTGCAATAAGTTGAAGTGAAACAAATATACGTTTGTTTCACTTTAACTTATTGCACTGTGTGTACTAGTTCAGAAAGTGCGGCAATAAAAAACAGACCTATTTTTTAAAAGTATTTTGAGTATTTTAATTCTAAATAACAAAAAGTATTTAATTCTATATACACAAATCATTCCATGATCATTTATATCATTTTCAGCTTTTATGATGCGAGATAATTGTACGATCCGATAATATAGTAATGATTATAAATATAACGATTATAAATGTAATAAATATGTATATATGTATTTTTCTACGATTTTTTACCAATTATCTCAGTCACTATGGTTTACTTCATCGTTTTTACTCTGTTTTTTTCAAATTTTTATAAGAACGTGAACGAGATATTTTAAATAGAAGAAAATACCGGGTTATTGATCAAGTGCAATCTTGCAATTTGTATTTGATTTATTCAGTAAAATCGATTTCAAAATTGATCACGATCTGCTTGAACGAATTCGCTATTTTTAAATTGAAATCGATAGAATTTTTACCAAAATTAAAATTTACTTGCTATAAAACACAATCGCTATCCACTAATAATTTTTACATTTACATAACTGCGACATGGCAAATAAGGTAATACTTATAAAAAATTGACTACAATACAAACTGACGGTTTTGTTTTGCAAATTGTGTATCAGATTAATCAGATTATTTTAATTTAACTTTGATTAATCTCTTTAAATGAATTGATTTCCCAATTAACATGGCACAATTGGCGTGTACAACTGACCCAGTGTACTCGTCAGCGAACTAGGTCGATCAATATTATAGGGGTGGAAGGGATAGGCAGGTGGTAGATTTCTCATACGAGTGGTGGTGACCACCCTTCTTCACTAAGAGGAGATGCGCGTGTGGAAATTGCTTTCAGTGCGCGGCGGAAAATTCGTCCACCCAAAACATGTCGTCGTCTTCTAGCGAGGATTGTTTCACGATCGTGGATGTGCCGGAGAATCGCTATGACGAGGCAATCCACCATCTGAGATGGAACTTTTTCGCCGATGAGCCGCTTAATAACGCTATAGGGCTTTGCGCGAGGGGGGAATCTCAGCGCGCACTTGAGCGACACTGCCTTCTCACCTTGAAGCAGGGTTACTCCAGGATGCTAGTGAATAAGAAGGGAGCGGTGAGCGAGATCTCTCACATCACAATATATATATATATATAACATTTCTTACTCAATTGCTTCGTTATTTATTTTTAGAAATAATAAAAATTAACTTGTTTCAATTCTTTTCGTTTTTATTTGTTCGTTATTACTTATAAAAGTTTTAATAATTTAATATTTTTTATATATTCTTAATTATTTTTTTATAATTAATTTTGTTGTTTTATTTAAATTGTTTGTACTAGAGTTACTATGATCTGACTTATTGTTACTTTATGCATTTGCAGAAATAAGAACAAAATAGATTGTTATAAATATTTATTAAAAATTTAAAGATAATTAATAAAAAATATAAGTACAAAAAATACATCTATTAAAAAATTAAGTAAAAAAAATGTTTTATGATTAATTGGTATGATATTGGCAGAAATAAATTAAGAATGACTTACAAATGTATTTTTTATAATTACTATAAAAATATTTGTTTTATATATAAATAGGCATAAACTTGCAGCAACTCGTACGTACACCGAAAGGAAAATTATTTTACAATTATGGTCACAAATACCAAACATATTTTTCTTTCAATGCACATAAGAGACTTATATCTTACAATCAATAGATTGTGGACTTCTCTGAATATAACTCATAAGAATAAAATAATCAATTATAGTGAAATTGTATATTATCAATCTATAATACAATATATAATATAAATAACATAATAATATAAATAATTAATAAAGCAATAAAATTTCTCAAAGTATTTGATAATATTCCTGAAGATAACTAATTATATAATTTTATATAATTATATATATATAACTTTTTTCCCGGGTTTATTGCCAAACATTGGTCTGTAACACAATAATTTTCACTTAATAATATTCTTTTATATCAGAAAATATTATTAAGTTTTAATTAATAGATATTAGAGATGCCACCGTCGTCGCTGTTGAGTGAGGCGCGATGGGCTGTGCTACGAATTTGCGCGACGCGACTTCAACGCACATTGGCTTGTACGTTTCCTTTTTTAATTCGAAAACTACAGCGAATATCTCAAAATGGTATTAAGATTTTTTTGTTCCCCTTGAAGATTAAAGATTGAAATTTCACCAATGAGGATAAAGAAATTTTGGCTCCTTTTGTTCTGTTTGGTCAAACTTCAATCTTTCGGTCTTCAATCTTATTCTTCAATGCGTAGTCTGATTCCGGCCTAATGTTCACTATTTTCTTTATATTGGGTTAGAGAAAAAGTCTCTTTACAAGTTGGTACAAAGACTTTTGCCAACCCATATATTCTATTTAAAAAAAAAATAGAACCACTTGATAGAGCAACGTTTTAGCTTTAAGAATTTGTATTTTTAATTGCGATACGATGATTTTTAACAGTTACGAACAATAAAGTCAGAATGTTCTTCTTTATTTAATCCGCGAGTAATTCAGGACCAAAAAGTCGTAGGAACGTTTTTAGAAAATGATTTTGTAGAAGAAGCTTCAAGCTTTTACGATAGATAATCGAAAAATTTGTTCAAATTTTTTTGAAGTACGTTACAGACCTAAAAAGTGAAAAGAAAATTTTTCATTTTTTTCAACTCGTACTTTTCTATATGTAAAAATGACAAAACTCACATAAATTCAAAAAATATAGTAACCATTCGAAAATAGAGATTTCAAGCTTTAAAACCTTCTTTAAATTTAAATTTTGATCATTTTTAAAAAAAGATGTTAATGGAGAAAGGTTTTTTTACCAATTTGTAAAAAGACTTTTCCCACATAAAAATATAAAAAAACCACAATTTATTCGGATTTATTTTTTTAATTATTTAGAAATTATTTATTTGCAAAATAAGAAGCCGAAGGAATTTTTTAATTAATTTCATATTTTTTAAATTAATTACTTTATTTATTCTTATAACTATAGTTTCTTTATAATGTTAAAATTTTTTAATTACCATTATAACCAATTAATCATAAAGAGTTGAGTTTTGTTTATTTTGGAAAGTTTTAATGTCTGTCGATTTTAAGATAATATTAAAATATTATTATTATTGGTTTTCAACAGATAGCGGGAATGGCACTAAACGGTATCCTAAAGAAAGGTGAACGTGAGGAAGAAGAGCGACGTTTCGATGAGTTAGATGACGAAAAGTTCAAGATGATCAAGAAACTACTCTACAAAGTGAATGATAAGGTCGATTTGTTCGCCAAGTATGATGTGGATGAGCTGTTCGAGTGCCGAATCCTTAGCGTTGACGCAGATTATCGCGGTAAAGGTTTGGCCAGTATTCTTATGGACGATAGTGAGAAAGTCGCCAAAAATGCCGGGTTTAAGGTAGATTAAACTGGATTTTAACTTATGTGTAATATATTTATCTCTTAATTCATTTTTTATATCTATATAATTGTATGCCCATTTAAATTTGTCTTTTTTCATTTTATCTTAATCATATAAAATCGAAATTAATTTACTTTTTAATTTTTTATTTCAATTTATTTATATGAATTTGTTTACCTATTTATATACGGAGTGTTTCTAATAAGAATTACTTCTTTCTCGATTTTTTATAGA